CCCCCCCGCAAATGTTCGGACGAAGAAAAATCAACAATGAAAGAAGTTTGCCACGTAAATAAATTGATTCCGTCTGGAATTGGAGGAAATCAAAGCCCATCATCGGCGTTATCGGCGCCGTTCGAAATATAAATTAAAAAAAGAAAAAGAACCTTCGGGACAAAAAAGAAAACCCAAATAACAAAAGGACAGAACGACAATAAGTTCTCATTAAGAGAGTAATATCGGCGAGATTAAAATAACCAATAACGTCTTGTTATATCCCGCTCCAATTTGTCATTCTTACGGCTGTCCTTTGACTTCTCCAGCCCTAAACGAATAAAGGGCCTTCTTCATTCTCTTTACCCTGTTTTCTCAATGGTTTTATTAAAGATTTCCCCCCCCCCGCTTTGCAGATTACAAACAACAAAATTCTAAGTTCTTCGAGGCAATTATTCAAATCGTTACTTAAAATGTGCCACGTAGGTAACCAGGAGATTGTGCACAGGTGCATTTCCAGTGATCTGTAGGAGTACCTGAAGAGTCGTTGGAAGCAGGTTCTAGAGAAAATGGATTATACCTCCGTGTAGGAGGAATCAATGAAGATTATATCATTGAAGGGTCATAAATATTCAGAAATTTATATACCACCTAAGTTGCCTAACCGAAGGCCGTTGTGGCATGTTTATACGTTATTTATGATGTGGGACATCAGGACGCAAGAAACTATGTCTAGGGATTAATGTTACCTGATCTGTGTCAATTTTATAAGAAAGGTGACAGAATGCGAAAATTATTGCAATTTTGAACTTTCCTCCGAAAAATAAAATAAACAAGGCAGTCGATCAGAGGCTGAACGGGTGATTGTGGCTTCAGCTAAATATTGCCATTAAGTCTGGGGAAAAAATTACGAACATAATTTCTGCAGCTAAATGGGAGAGGGTGGTTGGAGTTGTTAGTTGTCTCGTGATAGTGCGGCTGGAGAAAATGACCTGGAATGTTCTATGGTCACAGATAAAGGTAAACTCTTGTCTAGAAAGTTGCCAGTCACTAGTTGTGACAGGGGAACACGTCGTCACCCATGCTATTTAATTTTGATTTAGAAAAGGTAATTTAGACGAATCCTGTTGGAACAAAGCAATTTGGCGGGCGTAACACCCAGCACTTAACCCAGGTGTCCTAAAAAAAATTGGAACGGCAGCAGAAAGACTTGAGAATCAACCTGAATGAAACAAACTAGTTAAATGAAACCAGCAAAACAGAAAAAAAACGAAGCAGATAAAAGAGTTTCGGAAGCTGTGAAAGTTTTAAGTTCTTGAGACAACCGGTAATAGATTTGATATAAATTCCAAGTTTAAAGCACGATTAAGATTAGTAATAATAAGGTTTTGACGCTTAGAAAATTAAACTTTCATTAGATCTGAAGGAAGAGAGAGGTGGGTATGAACAAAACGGAGCGAACGAGTTTTGGCGTCAAGGAAAGTCCTCAGAAAGACATTCCATCGTATTCCGTCAGATATAGTAGCCTTTTTAAAAGAATACAAAATGAGATGGTAGACCGGGTCTTTTCGAACATTATTATAATACATAGGTAGATGGAAGATTACAAGGGTTTTGAAAAATTTTCTTTTGGCAGTTTTTTCTCAGCTGCTGTTTATTTATTTTTAATAACCATCTGTCACCCTACAGCAATGTTTCTCAACCCTTTATGTGCCAGGTTCCAATTAGACTTTTTCACATTCCTTCTTACCCTCCCCTGTACCACAACGTACATAATCCATAATCCATTATGTTTAGTGGTCAATTGACCAAGCTACTTCTTTCAATTAATTATTATTTCTATGTAAGTTCTTGGTTGGGATAAAAAGTCATTGTGACGAGCGGGATTCGAACCCACGGCCTTCGGCTCAATATTCCGCTGGTCTAACTACTTGAGCTATCGTGACATTGATCCACTCGGGCACCAACTCCCCATCTCACCCAACAACCTTTCTAATTTTCCCTCCTTTTTGCCATTTATCAAATAATCTGCAATATTAAAATGCTCACTAAATAAAGCTAAAAAATTATTGGGAAAATCACTATAGAACAATTGATAAAACATAGTATGCAATTTTTTTTAAAACCCCGAAAACCATATTCCGCGTCTAGGGCGTTGGAACGAATATGAAAGTTAATAAACTATTCGATCTAGAATTCATCTTGAACTCATGATTGTGATGTTCTTTAATTTTTAAAATAATTTATATTCCTTTAATCCACCAATATAAAGAGATAAAACGTGATAAGATCGCATCAGGAAGAACCAATCTTTTATTTTGTTAAACAGCGGTCGTTTGGATGCAAAAAAGTCCTGTCTGTCCTTGCCGTTTTTTTCCCCAACAGTATCCCCTTACCGTCCTTAACTAATTAAATGGAGGAAAAAAATAAATGCCAGTATATTAACTATACATCACCTCAATCATTCCTTTACCCTGGACAAACTGTGCTCGCTACTTAAGACTATACATCGACAAACACGACGTAGAATCTTTTTAAAACCATAGTTCCTACTCATAGTAAGTCGGGTTGTAGAGCTCCTTCAATCTGATGATGAGCTGAAGGCTCGAAATCCGGATCGTTGAAAATAACTTATTGTGAGTAGGAACCCTCTTTTTAAAAAGATTGAACAACACGCTCACTCCACCATTATTTCTATTAATTTGCCCTCACATAGAATCTCCATACGAGACTTAAACGACAAAGTACACCTTCTAGAAATACGGAGCTCAACCAAAACTAATCCAAACCAATCATTATAGTCCAAAAACTTCCGTTGATATTTGGAAAGTGCTTTCTACCTAAAGAAGAGTTGCTTGTATACTTACGAGGAGAAAAAGACTGCACCAAACTAGTCGAGTATTGCAGAATGGCATGGAAGTATAGAGAGAGATTAATACAATATTCACTAATTTCCTGGTCCGCTTAATTAATACATTACAATTAATTATGGTTTTTAGTTGAGATAAAAAAGTCATTGTCACGAGCGGGATTCGAACCAACGATCTTCGGCTAAATACGCCGCTCCTCTACCACTTGAGCTATCGTGACCTCGATCCACTCGGACACTAACTTCCCATCTCAACCCCACCTTTTGAATTTTCCCTCCTTTTTGCCATTTTTCAAATGTCGTGTAATCGGATTGGATTCTCGACGACAAATGAAATCTCCATGGAGAGCTTTAGTGAAGTGTACTTCATTTTAATTCATTAAATTCACTGATTTCGTCGTCCGCTTGAAAAATGACAAAAAGGAGGGGAAACTCGTAAGGTGGGGTTGAGATAGGAAGTTGATGTCCGAGTGGATCAAGGTCAAGATAGCTCAAGTGGTAGAGCAGCGGCGTATCTAGCTGAAGATCGTGGGTTCGAATCCCGCTCGTACCATTAACTTTTTTTCATCTCAACTAAAAACCATAATACAAGAATTTAATTATAATTAAATCTTCATTACATCTCTTGAGCTTAATAATAAAAACATTTTGTTAGAGCAATTTTAATAGCATGTAAAATGACATATATTTATTATTTATGTATTTATTTATTTATTTTTTTATTATTATTTTTTTTTTGACTGGGGCTTCCGATATCTAGGTCATTTCATCCGCCAACTATGTCTATATTCTATTTACCCTTTCAAACACTACATTCATGCACATAAATACGTCCATACAGTACACTCATTCCGTTTGGTCGGTGGAGTACTTGATTTCCTCCACCGACCCTATACTCAAACTTTATGTATTTATTATATTATATTGTGTATATCTGTTATATGTTACTATTGTTTAAAGTTATTTAATTTATTTTTATTCAATTTATTTATTTTTTTGCATGAATTATATCATTAAACTAGTGTTAAGATAAGTTGTTGATTAATAGTACATTCTATGGCTTTGTTGTACATTTATTGCTTATACTATTTATATATACATGTGCGTCCTCCCCTGACGGTCTTGTGGCCATGGGAAAAGCTTGCTTAAATATATATATCCAGATTAAACTACATATTGTCAAATAATATAAATAAAGGCAATTTATTATTATTATTAAAAACTTACGTTGTATTGCAAATGCTGGTTTCAGTGTGTCCAGTCCCCTTCACCATACAGCATCCTTTATGTTTCTCTCGTCATTAAACCGAAATAAACAAATTCATCTGCTGACTCACTGGTCATTCTAATACCTTTGTAAACCAACTTGCCTCAAAAACATTTCCTGATAGCCCACAAAGCCGACTGAACGCCGATGGCATCGTGGTCTCATCTTGGGTGGTAGCGAATTACAAGCGAATTCTTATGTTTACATATATGTCACTGCTGAATTACTTTTCTGCTCAAGAAAATAAAACTCAACTTTATCTAATCATTTTATTTCATTATTATTAATTCTATTGTTGTAAATTTCAAACAAAATGAAAAAAGAAAGAATGGAATTTAACTAAAATTCTATACCCCGCCTACAGCGTATAGAAAATTTATTTTAACATTGTTGTAGAATTTTTTATTTGGCCGAAACAATGTTTCATGGAGTTTCATACGGTTTTTTAAATATATTTTTTACTATGTCGGTGCTTGTTCATGATTTACTCTATCGTATTATATTGTTTTTAGTTTTTTAGTTTTAAATAACAACGAGGCAAAAATTATCAATAAGCGTAATACGCCAGAGATCCATTGTCGGCTTTGATAAAATATAAACCCAAAACCATTTGTCAACTACAGGTAAAATATTTTTATCTGCCTGCTTTTTTTGACTTTTTTTAGGAAGGTTCGCAACAGCAGAGGTCATATGAACCCTCAGAGTGCCGGTGTTTAAAAAAAAACAAAAAACATTTGTATGTCGGGTTAGAATGCAGGGCCGAGGGATTCGAACCCGGGACTTTTAACTTACAGCGATGAACGCCCGTTGCGACCACCGATCTCCTTTTTTTTTTTACTTTGTGTTGTTCAGTAAAAATGTTAACAAACCCGGAAATTTTTTGTTCGTATTTTGTGATCTTGATTAAAAAAGTGATGTTTTATATTTAAGAATTAGGCAATCATGTGATCTCAACCCGGGAACCAGCCTTACAAAGTTTGAAACTCGCAAAATTTAAAGAAAAAAAAATCAAAGTACTGTACTGAAATGAACACAAATGCCCCTAGTTTTTTTCTTATAAAAAATCAATATTTTTTGACATCGCTTTGACAAAATATAAACCCGAAACCATTTGTCAACTACAGGTAAAATATTTTATATGCCTACTTTTTTTTTACTTTTTTTACGAGGGTGCGCAACTGCAGAGGTCATATAAATCCTCAGAGTCCGGTGTTTTTGAAAAAAACAAAAAAAAACATTTGTATGTCGGATTCGAATGGAGGGCCGAGGGATTCGAACCCGGGACTTTTAACTTACAGTGATGAACGCCGTGTCAACGCCTAAACCGTTGCGGCCACCTACGCCCCCTTTTTTTGATTTTATGCTGTTCGATAAAAATTTTAACAAAACTGGAATTTTTTGTTCGTATTTTGTGATCTTGATTAAAAAAGTGATGTTTTATATTTAAGAACTAGGCAATCATGTGGTCTCAACCCGGGAACCAGCCTTACAAAGTCTGAAACTTGAAAAATTAAAAAAAAATAAAATCAAAGTATTATACTAAAATGAGCACAAATTCTCCTAGTTTTTTTCTTATAAAAAAGCAATATTTTTTGACATCGCTTTGACAAAATATAAACCCGAAACCATTGGTCAACTAGACGTAAAATATTTTATATGCCTGCTTTTTTGACTTTTTTTTACAAGGGTACGCAACAGCAGAGGTCAAATAAATCCTCAGAGTCCGGCGTTTTGAAAAAAACCATTTGTATGGGTTCGAAGGCAGGGCCGAGGGATTCGAACCCGGGACCTTTACCTTACACCGATGTGCGCCGTGTCAAACTGTTGCGGCCACCTACGCCCCCTTTTTTTGATTTATATTGTTCGATAAAAAGTTTAACATAACTGGAAATTTTTGTTCGTATTTTGTAATCTTGATTTAAAAAAAAAGATCGTTTTCTATTTTAGAACTAGTCAATAATGTGGTCTCAACCCGGGAACCAGCCTTACAATGTATGCAACTTGCAAAATTAAATAAAACATCAAAGTATTATACTAAAATGAGCAAAAATGCTTCTAGTTTTTTCCAATAAACAAGCGATATTTTTTGACATTTCCTAGCGGTGCCTCTGAGAGAAAGAAGGAAGTTAAGCTGGATTAATTGGGAAAAAACTTTAGGAAGTTGGGACTTATAAGATGAAGATTCTTGAGATGGGCATTATCCAAATGTAACGTGTTTTGGAGAAAAAGTAAAGCATATTTTGTCCAGTTTTTAATGTTTTAAATTCCATATTCTTATTTGATTAAATATGGATGTACTTAGTGGATCAGATTAAATAACACTTTTAATATGTGGTGATTAGTGACCGTTTCGATAATTATTCAGAAATCCTGAGATGCGGTCTTGTGTGATGTTGGTTTCAGAAAAACATTTTCTTTATCGTGCCAGCGTTTCGATCTTTATTGAGATCATCTTCTGGGCCTGGGATTTACAAACATTGTTTACATTTAACAAATACATGTAGAATGTGGAAAAAAGTGAATTTATACAATGCAAAATATAATTTTTTTATATTCAATCAAAGTATATCCTGAAGATGATCTCAATAAAGATCGAAACGTTGGTACGATAAAGAAAATGTTTTTCTGAAACCTACATCACACCAGACCGCATCTCACGATTTCTGAATAATTACTTTTTAATATTTCAACAAAATTTTAGGAAAATGCTTATTAATAAACTGTTTTTGTCAATGTGCAATGAATAAATGTTGGATTTTCATATGGTAAAGCAACGAAATTCTTGATTTTTATGCAGAATTATGAAACAGTTAAGATTGTATGGGGTTGTCATTATTTAAAAACCGTTCTAACATTTATGTGGCTAATAGATCCAATCAATCTGTATCCTTTCCTCACGTGTAATTGAACCTACGGTTGATCAATTTTCTTCTTTTTTTAAACGTAAAATATTACAAACTTGTAAGGTTCTAAGGTTTCGTTATGTGACCGTAACGGTTCATATTCCGTTATAATGGCCAGCCTGGGGATTTTTGTTCTTTGGGTTACCAATTAGTTTAGAATCACCGACTTCAGCGAAGGGGGGTTGATATAAAACCCACCCCTTCGTGACGATTCCGAGGCTCGTTTAATTGCCGGTTAAAGGTTTCGTTTTCTCGAGGTGCTCCACCGTCCCCAGGGGGTGAAAAGGTGCCCCCGGCTCATTCAATTAGGAACAAAATAAATCTGCGATCTCTCGGATCCCCGGAATTAAATCTGCACATTTACTCTATAACAAAAAAAAAATCCAAATCCCCGATGGCTTAGTTTAAAAAAAGGACGGAAATTAATTTATTGCCGGCGGCTTCTCGGCGTGTTTTTGCAATGTAACATTTTAAACTCCTTTCAGATAGTTTATTAAATTGCTTTACTAGAAAACTTACGTTTTAAAAGTTTCTTTTCTTTAATCCTTACCCTCCTAAAGAGCAATTATATAAGGTTTTTTTTATTTGTTACCTATACATGGTAGTATACTATACAAATATGTACATATGATTAATATATCATACAGCATAACACTAGCACTAATACCAGTACTGCACCGGTAGAATACATGCTTTGAGGAGCCAGCCATTGCAGTGTGTATGATTAGGGTCAAGGAGGTCCGAGGCCATCGTCGGTTGAGGCGAGGTGGTCAGTTTTCAGGATGGGAATGAGTGGAATGAGGGTTCGAGCAGTATGGTTAGGATGGAACGAAAGGTTGGTGTGGAAGGTTTGGAATCTGGACCGGATTAGTTCGTTGGCAAAAGGAATGTTGGTGCATGGTGAGGTTAGTGACATAATAAGGTGCTTTGCCAATTTTTCTAAGGACTTTCGATTGGAAGGATTAGATGCGCTGGACATTGGAACGCTTGGCAGTACCCCACAGTTCCACTCCGTATGTCCATAGTGGTCTTGGTAAATTCTTGTACAGTTTACTTGTTACTCTTAGCTTTGTCTTAATTGTCAAAGTCGATTTCGGTCTTAAAAGTCTTCATATTAGTCCAAGTCTTATATTAAGTTACTGTTTTTTAAGTCTTGTGTGGGGATTCCACGTCTACTGTCGAGATATAGTCCCAGGTATTTGACTCGAGTGGAAACTGGTACCTCTTTGTTGTTGATGTACAATGGTTGATGGTAACACTGCTTTTTCAGCGTAAAAGTACACTGAGTGCAATTTTTCTTCGCTCGGTCTTGTCCTCCATTTTTTACATCTGTCTTCGATAAGCTCAAGGTGTTCCTGGATGTTGGAGGTAGCTTGGACATGATTCGAGTAAGAGGATAGGATTGCAGTGTGGTCCGCGTAGGTGGTGATGTATTGGGAGTTCAGCAGTATAAATAACATTAGGGCAGGACCAAGGACACTACCTTGCGGTACACCTGTATCTGTTTGACTTCCGAATTCATTGCCACACCTCACTCTGAAACAGCAATCAGTTAGGTAGGATTTCAATAAAAAGTAATAATGAGAGGATAAGAAGCGCTTAAGTTTAAAAAGTATGCCCCTGTCGAGAGCCTGTGTTATACTCCTTTTTTATTAGGACCGATTAGATGGTGTCGACTACTCTAAACCATTGTTGGATAGTCGAATGTTGAGGACGGAAACCGAATTGGTGAGAGGGAATGATTTTATAGATGTCAAGGATTGGTATTAAGCGTTTTAAAAGGAGTCATTCTAGGATTTTGAACATTGCGAGAAGCAGGCTAATAGGTCTGTAGGATGAGATCTGGTCAGGGGGTTTGTGAGCTTTAGGGATGAGAATAATGACGGAATATTTCCATAGGAGAGGGAAGTGAGTGGTTCGTAGTATTGCGTTATATATTGCGGTTAAAAATAGGACGACAATGTGTGGGAGGTTTCGCAGGATACTGGAGGTGATTAGGTCATGGCCAGCGGATTTTCTGCGTGGAGATTTGTGGATACGGTATTTCACTTCAGAAGGATGAAAAGGTTTTGTAGGGGTATTGCATTACTTGTTGTGCGTGAGAGGTATCATTTATGTCTTGATGAGGAGTAAAGGTACTCTTCGAAAAGATAAAAACCAATCAAAATGAAACAAATGATCAACACATATTTACATACATCTTATCAATTAAAATAAAATTAAAAATACCCAATGTTTAAACATCACTATAGGTATTATATTTAAATAAAAAGAACTATCGCATCAAGAATTCTGAGAATGCAAAATTCTAGTTTTATCTCGAATGCGAGATTCTCGTTTTGATTAGATGACCCAATTCCGAGTTTATTGGTCAAGTTTACTAAGTGTGGCGCGTAAAAAAAAAACTTTGCCGCCAGGCGGGAAAAAAAGATTAAAAGGGCCGTAACGGCAAAGGAAATTGTACGTGTTGACTTTGTTTAAAGTCCTATCAAAATGTTGGATAATTGTAAAAAAAAAAAAAAACACCTCCAGTTCAACCACACGCATAAAACACGGAGTGATTGCGCCTGTGTTCGTGGGTCAAGCTGAATCTCTACGAAACATAAATTTTAGTAACTCTCTCATAAAAATTGATAAATTAGCTCAATTAACAATGTAAAAATAAAGGTAAAAATATACAAGTTAAAGCAGTAAAACAGCAGTTTAAACTTAAATCTGGAGAATATCAGGAAAAAGCAGAAAGAGACAAAGAGACAGAAAAAACCAAGAGTGTGTGCGTTCTGCATGAGTTATAGAAAAAACTACAAAACATTCAAAAAATTCTATGCAAGACATGTGTATATATATATATATACATGAAAAGAGATAGATAAACAAATTTTTTTGACATTTTTATCTCAACTAAGACCTTAAGATTTTAAGAGAAATGTTTAAATCGTGATATCTTTTAATCTAAACATTTCTCTTAAAATCTATAAGCACCGTTGAAATCCCCGTTAATTTTTCAATANGCATATCTAGCCGAAGGTCGTGGGTTCGAATCCCTCTCGTGCCATTAACTTTTTTTCATCTCAACTAAAAACCTTAATTAATTGTCATGTATTAATTGGTCAAGCGGACCACGAAAGTAGTGAATTAATGTATAAATAAGATTATAATCTAATATAAATATAATATAATAAAAATAAAATAAATTTCTATTCTATTTTTAAATGTATCTACTAGCTCTCTATTTCTGTCTATCTTTCTATGTCTCTATTTCTGTCTCTTTGTCTATCCCTCTATGTCTGCATCTCTTTATTTATCTCTATTTCTATTTCCCTACTTCTTTGACTATCTTTTTATGTCTCTATCTCCATCTATCTATCTCTATCTCCCAATTTATAAATTTATCTGTTTCTTTGTCTGTTTTTCTATGTCTCTATTTCTATCTCTTTGTCTACCCCTCTATGTCTGCATCTCTTTATTTATCTCTATTTCTCTTTCCCTACTTCTTTGACTATCTTTTTATGTCTCTATCTCCATCTATCTATCTCTATCTCCCAATTTATAAATTTATCTGTTTCTTCGTCTGTTTTTCTATGTCTCTATTTCTGTCCGAATACCAGGTTTAATTCCCAGGAGGTGGGATTTGAACTGCAACCAAGGTATTTCGATGAATGTGTCTTGGGTAAGATCGGGTACTGGTCGGGGAGAAAAAACTATGCAATATACGAAATTTATGGGATTTGGCAGGGAATTTAGTAAGCTTTCAGTCTTTTCTCTCTACTTTGGCTGATTTTCGAATTATTTTCAGTAGAAGGCAAAATAAAGTGGTTTCGACCTAACGCACTAGAACAGCCTTCCGGCTATTTAAAAAAAATCATATCTCATGTTCTATTGGACCGATTTTAATCAGTGTTCATGTCTCTCTCCCAAAAAAATCTAGTTTAAAAACAATGTGAAAAATGGGGGAAAAAGGTCGAAAAAATTAAATCGACCTTACATGAACAAAACTACATGAAAATGAAAGGGAATCTCAATTCATAGTTTTTCCTATCTAGAACAGCAAAGAAAAAAATGTGCCCTCCCCTGGCTTCTACACTAAAACTTGTGGCTGTAACACCCATCCAGTCGCGAGCGTCCGGTAGGACCGAAAGGCAAGGTACAGACGTTAAAGATCCTTATGTACTTTTAAGGGCTAACGAGTACATATGGGAACCTAATGGCCAATTCGAACCATAAGTGGATGAAATAGTGAACATTGAAGCCTAAACACAAACAGCTCACTAATATAAGTGGGAAGTTTATGGGCCGACAAACAGCTGAGGTCATCGCCGGCCCTCTGCGTGTTTTCC